AGACCAACTTCGAACAAAGGGCCTTCATTTCTCTTGACACAGTCATCGCTTGACCACCACTTTTCCCCCGGTGCGCAAACAACGCTGGAGTGCTGGCATACCAACACGTGTCTTAGCCATCAGAGCCTGGTGCGGGAAATAACCGTGCTGAGCAGCTCACTTCCCCTTCCTGGGCCATAAACAAGGCGTCGAACACGCTCATTGCTCACACGGTGTTCCCACCAGATATGAACCAAACTGCGAAGGCACCGGTGGTCGTTTCCCGTATCAGACGGAATAACTTTCAATGGTTACCAAGCGCAGTGACCACTTTCATTTCTGACATACGATGAGACCACCAAGATTCGCAATCTCTCTTCAGACTTACACCGAGTTTTGCCTTCAGGTCTCTGCGAGTGTCATGGTGTTCGCTTACAACCGCAATGTGCTGGCGAGCATCGATAATTTCCAGAGACTACGATGAGACCCAATATCCAGTTTGGCTTTTGGACTTACCAGGTGAGGATTTACCTGCTGCTGTTAAGGTCTGGTGAACATGCCATCAGTGACCTACAACTGTTTTCAGTGAGCGCCTGCTCAACCCGAATGCCAGCGTACTTTGTTACGCATCAGAAAATCTGGCTTCGTTACTTGGCTGGTGTATATTTGCTCACGGGTTTGTCGTGGGCGTCCGCCAAAACGCACCCGCAGATCAGCGCATACAAGTGCATGGTCAGCGTCCACGCATGCACTACAAATCGAGCTACACTTGGACGCCACCTTTCCGGCTATAACTGATCGCGATGTGATCAATTTGCGTCCAGGGCTGGTCTAAGGCTGGTGCGCGCCATGTTGCCCTACGGCGGGTGCTGTGTCGGAAGTTAGTGTTCGCAAGAAATAAGCGCGCATCTCCACACAAATGAAGTAATCACTCCCTTATCATTACGGGAGCCTACACCATGTTTGCCACCCAGATGAAGCCCATCAGTGGCTAATTTTCTAACTTGAGCGTTCAGAACCCAGCACTACAGTGTCCGTGCTTCTTCTGTAACCAAGTAGCTGGTTCATTTGGTAATAGCAGTCGTCTTTTACCGACACATCGCTGCAGTTTGTGGGGGCATAGGCAGCGATGACAGACGGACACAGCGCGACTTCGAAGTTTTGAACAAGCCTGCCAGTCGGACTGTACATATCCGGTTACTGATTGCGATCCAGTCAATCAGAGCAGCTTCGGTCCAGTGACCAAGGGCAATACCAACACCGGCTTGTCCGGCACTCGAAGCGGAATCGTCTCCGCATAGGTGCAGTCAGAAAGCACTGCTAATGCCACCTGATCGGGATCGCAAAACGAGCACAGAGCTCGAGTCTTGCAGATGGGCTTGCCATAGGCAGCAGTTATCGATCGAGAGGGCCTCTAATGTTCGTGCAGGTGCTGCTTGTTGGCCGATCTGTAAGAATCTGCGTACCTTGAGGCTTGTCAATTTGAGGGAGGATCGAGGGCTCTAAATAGAAGCCAATGAACGGGGTTAGGCGTCTTCGTTGAACATGGGCTTGAAGACAGGGCAGAAGTGACGCTCTACGTGTGCATGTGAGTTGAAACTGGAAGATAAACGCCTATCAAAACATGGTGGAGGAGGGCCAAAAATTGGGAGAGGATTGAAAACTGTGGGTATAGAAGTGAACTTGGTATTGGACGCTAAGGGTGAAGTGCGTAAGAGGGAGAATAAGTAGACTAGAGCACATGAACAGTAGCATCCACCTTGTTCGATGCGACCGCCGAAACATTAAGAGATTGTTTGAAGGAAAAGTCACAGTTTAGTGTTGCGTGCGCAGCATAGTGCCAAGTTGCCCAGTCCTAGACAGGAGAATGGTTAAGGTTCTCACCAAAAGCGTTTGGTTAAAATACCTGACCATTACTCAGTGAGGTCTTTGCATTGATCTACAAGGAGTCCGTTTAGAGGAATAAGGAGCCACGCTGACTTCGACCCGCAACGGGGAGGATCAGGAGACTGAGTTTGTATGGCCTCTAACCATTGACTAATCTGGTATAAGTGGCTCTGAAGTTGCAAAAAAGCACCACCCTGCATAGCTCAATGAATCGCTGAGGCACCCAAATCATCGCACCATTGTAGGGACCAAACATATAGGGTAGATCCAACTTTTTCACTCTGACTAGACGCCCTTATAGGATTATCAAACGGCGAATTCGCTCCTTCGAAAATATCACAACGCTTCATATGTTTTCTTTAACTGCTTTTTCGGTCTTCAGCGACTAGGATCTGTCACTTCAATTTGACCATCTTACAGACTACATCTGATTTTGATTTAGCATGTGTTGCCCTGTTGAAACGATATATCTAATGGCGGATAGATTTTCAACACCGCTGTCAAAGCGACTTCGAAGGGTGAAATAATGGGCTTACCAATGCAGCATGGCTACTCGTGTCAGGAGCCTAGCCTTAGCATTTACATCTGAGATAAAATGGCTAATCCACTTATACGTCGAAGCGGTTCTACGCATCCATAACTGTCATGATCTGTGTGGGCTTTTGACTCGGCTCTGTAGTAAGGGCGTCTGCAGCCAGAGCGATGAGGCGGATGTGGAAAAACTGTAATCTGAGCTTACTTCCATCTCACCAAGCTCACCCCGCTTGCCTTCCTTCATTAGCTCGTCGATCAAAACAACCTTCGCAAAGAACTCAAAAGACTAAAGTGAAACAAAGTTCTCTTTCCATTAGCTTTGAAAGTGTGTGCTGATCCTTTCTCACTACCTTTAACATATCTCTTTAACAAGTGCCTCCTGGATCCTGGACATTTGGAGATCAGCTAGTACCCAAAAATGGATCACAAAATTATCGCCCAATCGCATGTACATCTGTGCTTCTAAATGGTTTCGAAAGACTCTTAATTCCGCGTATTTTAACAGCCACTCCTGAGGAGTATATCTACCAGTTTGCGAATAGATCCCAACGCCCTATATTGATTGCAGTGACATATCTTGTTCGTTCTATAGCCTCTGCATTAGATCAAAAATGTAAATCCGTGCGGCTTCTCTTCCTGGATTATTCGAATACCTTTGAGAGCCATGACAAGTAAATGTTGCTGCACATGTTATCTGGAAATGGAGTTCATCCTAGTATGTGTAATCTGTTGCGTGACTATTTTACACGTCGTACTCACTTCACCAAGTTAAACGATACGCAATCCTCTGTCCTCCTTGCTGCCTGTGGTGTTCTATGGGGAGCGATCCTATCACCTCTATTTTCATTATTTATTGAATGTCACTTTATACAAACCACGTCTATATGATGCTACAATGCTGATGATGGGCTAAGACATGTGCTATTCAGCATCCGCATCATTTCAACGTGGGTTGGAAGATCTGGTGGAATGGTCTTCATCGATATCCATTAAACTTAATGCTTCTAAATACAGTAGTGTAATATTTTCTTTGAACTAAACTTTCATGCGCAGATCATTCACGGTCACATATCACGACGTCTTTTTGTCCCATAACCTTTCTTGGTGCACGCATGTCTGTGAAACTTCTCAAAAAGTCAGAAAACTTTCTTTTTATTTCCTCAGACTTAAGATGCTTTCAGTACCTTGTATTTTTATATTCCAGTTTGTGACCTCTTGCATTATTCCCCATTGGCTATACTGCTCCCCTTTCATCTTCCCTGGACTGCTTCAGAAAGACTACATTTTATTGGTACAGTCGATAAAGCACATTTCTAGATGCAAGAGCTTGTCCAGAGATTCTTTAGCTGATATTGTCATTTCTAGACATATTGATGCCTGCAAAGATTTTTCTTCTAAGGTACTATTTAATTGATTTCATCCACTTTATAATGCTCTTTCAAAGATGCTTTCTTTCTTTTCAACGCGTTTTAAATTCAAGATTTTATTCTACACATCATCGTATCGCAATACTGTTTTGTCTTGTCTATCACGTTTGCTTATTGCCCCAGTGAAAGTCATAAGCATACTGCGCGAGCGGTTGTTGGAGTGACCGTTGTGCATATTTTCCATTTTCTGTCCAATTATATATGTTGATATCACCAAGTTTGTCCGCAATAGTAGTGTAAATGCTAAAACTGAACCCATTAGGGTTCATACAGCTTATTTTGACCTACCATTGATGGATCTTGCTAGGGGATTCCCTCAGGTGCTTCATCGATGATGTCACATAAAGGAATTGACCGAATTGCTTTGTCGTCTGTGCATGGTACCTTTCTGGTAGGTAGCTTTGGGAGTAGCACCACTACTGGTTATATATCGTTTCCCATATGGTTCAGTGAAGTCAGCGGCTCTCTTGCTGGCGGCCATTAACTCTTTAATCTGACGACCATGTCTTTTTTACTCTGTCTTCCGCTGCCCAATTTATGGGCAAGTCTTTCTAGGCGTCCTCCATCTGTTATTCCTATAGTTTATTGCGGCACTAGTTTTAGCGATCGACTACACTACGTTTCAGTGCTCATTTCTTAGTAGATAATGTTCATACCGTTAGTTGTATTGCAGAATGACTAGCAGAGTCTACCTGCACGCGAGCGTTATATATCTCTCTATTGGTAGGTCGGTCATTCACATCGTGAGCGTGTCTTCTCATTTTCTTGTTCGCCACACCATCATGTAATCGTCTCGGTTTTCCGCTTCTCTTTACCTCGTGCTATCTTATTACGCAACCTAGCTGTCAACACCACTAGTCAATTGCTTGCGTTTGGGCCATTATGTCAATGTGAGGCAAAATCGCTATACCCCTACTATCTTCTGGATAGATCCACTACTCCCTTGCATTTTGCTTCGTATTTAGTGAGCTGGCTTTGGATTTAATCCCAATCAGTAATATTGCTCGAGCGATTAAACCGTCGTGGTTTCCTTTGTCGATTGAAACATTACGTTAGAATTTATGGTCTGTGCTATCCAATAACTCAGTGGTTTTCAGAGTTGACGGTAGCCGCACGATTATGGTCCGCATATGACAGACAGTATATAAACTTTGACTCCTATGCATTTCCCAGATCCTGCGTACGACGAAGATGTGTCAACTGTTGGGCGTACAACTGGTCACAGTGGCTCCAACGAAGGTTGGGGCAGTAATTGGCAACCTGACCCAGTGGAGGCGATGTACCAGGGTGGACTTTGGCGACGACGTTTGGACCTATTGAGCATGCTCGTCAGCATCTACGGCAGTAAAAAAGCGTTTTTGGTGGAATACAAACAGCTACTTAGTCAGCGTTTGTTGCGCCAGCGTAGTTTTCATACCGCCCGAGAATTGCGCAATTTAGAACTGCTGAAATTGCGATTTGGAGAACAAAATTTGGTCGAATGTGAAGTGAGTTCTACTTGCGATACATCCATTTACTGATTTGCACATCAGTCGACGCTTACCGGCTGAGGTAGTTGCCATCTTAATATTTTAATTTTAGCCTTCATGTTGATATGTAGGAATTGGTAACATACGGGCATGAGTTAACTGAGTTATTTCCAAAAATGTCTATTGGATTGCAGTTATGCGAGGATTGACACTTTTTCTAGTGTCCACATTGACGTTCAATGTTTTTGGCCAACAAGGCTAGTTGGCTGTAGAGTGTTATACTTAGAATTTCTCAGATGGAACGCGAAATTCGCTTGGATTGCAGCTCAAAATTCAGCCCACCTCATTACTGCTCATCATTTTCAAGGAAGCTACCATTCCCTCACAGCTACGCATTAACCATTATTAAATGCTGCTAGCATAGAGACTGTCATCGCAGAGTCTACGAATTCGGCCACCATTATCGATACGGAAGCCGCACCCCAGACATCGTTTGTTCTCCGATAACCGGCCCACACAATGCTATCGTTCTACACGTGAACCAGGTATGAAAAACTATTCACCTATTGTGCCGCAATGCGAAAAATAAGCACAACTATTTGGAGGGTCATTGTGATGTACACGTTGTCTGATTGGATTGTGACGCGCAATGTCAATGTAGCCCGTGGCTCGCATTAGAGTGAACTTTGGTCATTGCAATCACTAGGACCGTAGCTGATGAAGCAGAAGGAAATTGGGTATTGCCCGTTCGAAAACACTGCACAATCACTACACGTTTCGATGTTATTCGATGTCATTAGGTAAAGCTAGCATGCCTCGAACCTGGGACCATTGGCATGTTAGTTGCGACCTCTACCTCTTTAGCCATCGGGTCACGATGGGCAACGCTTGGCCCAACGGCTAATGACTGATTGGAAGGTCATTTTTACTGTATCTCAACGATGAGATTTTGTTTTGATGGGAAAGCTAATCGAGAAAAGAAGAGACAAAGAATCTTGTAAAACAAACTCCAATGAGGTCGGCTCCTGAGCATGTCAACAAGTGTCTCCAACAAAACGTGTTCCTCGTCTTTCGGACCCCAACCCGGGAGTCGAGAAAATCCAATCGCAGCCAATTTCTAGTCGAGTGCTTTCATTCTTGGTCGCCATAATTTGGAAATGGCTGAGGGATGCCCATCTAGTCCTGTGGTCTTTTTCAGTTTCTATAGTCTGATCTCAAGTTCGACCGGGTGAAAACGCTGATCTAAAAGGAAGACCCAAAATGCCAGACCACCACTTGCGGCATCGTGTCTGGTAGTTCAAGCCGGCTGAATTGCTTTTTAAAATGCTCATCCCTACACTGCAGGCGTTTTGACAGATTGTGGACAGGCTGTCCTCTTTACTCGCATATAGCTTCACTCACACATGGAGTAACTTCCGACAGTTTACAACAGTAGCAGCCTTACTTATTCACGATGAGGTCGCGGTCTCTCACCCGAGTAGCATATAATTTTTCTCTGTGATGTTTGCGTGCCTTTTCCTGTCCGCCGCAAACCGGAATGCGTCAACGAGCATCGAGAAGTTTTAGAGACTGCGTATACACCCATTGTTCAGGTTAGCAATCAGATTTACGGCATGAAGACAGACGTGCTGCTAATAAGGTCTGATGAAAATGCGACTGGGGATCTTCAACGGTGTTCAGTAGGTGTATGCAGTCAGGATGTTAGCGTACTTTGTTACGCACTCAAAACATGTGGGTTCACCAGTTTGCATGTGTCTGCGCTCACAGCATTGTCGCTGGCGTCCACCGAAGTGCACTCAGGGATCAGCACATTCAACTGCATTTTCAGAGTCCACACTTTGAGCGTCAATTTTGAATGCAGTCTGTTCAACGACAGCTGTTCACATCGTGATTAGCTTGCGTCCATGGCTAGTGGTTGCTGTACCGGATGTTGGTGTTCACGAGAACTAGACGAGCAGTCGCACGCGGTTATCTTTACGGGGGATTACGCCATGTTGGCTACCCAGATGAACACTTTTTAAGTCAGGTCACATGTAATATGATAACCACATGGATTCGTTCGGTCTGATTTCTTCCATTTTATCGCGTCATTCGTCGGCACACTTATTTTTTCTTTCCTTTTGATCTACTAATTTTCTGTTCAATTCAATTCAAGAAAGAGATTTATGTCCCTCCCCCAAAGTGCGAATATTCAGATGTTACACACTTACAGACACTCGATGTTGGCCTGTGCACCACGCATCAACTCATGGCTTTGGACACCTTTCTCTCCCATTTCTTGTCTTCCCTTTTCCTAAAGGTTATGCTAAAAGATATTCGCGACTCAAAACGTGTCGCCGCATTAGTTTCTGAATCCATGCAACGGACGCCAACCAGGTCGTCTAACGTCTTATTACCGACGAAATCGGAGTCTTCGCAGGCTCGTGGGCGAGCAGGTGATCCACCAACGAATGAAAACACGGAGCATCCAGTCGCCACCTTCCCTCTATCGGCTTATATTTTGTCTGCTCATTACTGGCCTGAATTGCTGAATGATCGATTTAAATTGCCGGAAGGGCTCCGGACCACTTTTGATGCTTACGAACGGTGAGCGATTACCTAATTTACCTCCAACTCTGGTACGTTTTCTCCTGGCTTCTAGGCGTCTTGTTGGTTGGCCGATCACCATTCCATGGGTATGCTAACATTGTACAGATATTGATCCGTTTACTGGTCTCCTGCCCTTCTTTTTTCCTCTCTTTCATTTTCCTCTACCTGGACTGATTGCGCTGTGCAATTTACTCTCGTCCGCTTTTAATATACCATATGTTTCACTGAGCGTTTTAAATCTTATCAGATCACTGGATACCATGTTTTTGATAATGCCTTTGCATACTTAGCCCTTTATCTTGGTTTTCCATCTGCATGACTTACTCTCCCCGTTGTCTTTCATTCTCTTGGGTATATCCTTGCGAGTTATCAAAAATCGGAAGTAAGCACCTTTTCGTGTCGTCTAGCTTCACTGTTACACTCCACAACTGATTTCGGACTTACTGAATCCTCATTGAGGGGTGGGTTACTATTGAGGATGAGGTGTGAACAGGTGAATCGCTGTCTGCCAACCGAGCGCCCCGAACGCTCGATCTACTCACATATGCAGTGGTTGGGAAACGACCGGATCAGAGTAGTTCATCGGATGGTGGCATGCCTCAGATTTGTAGAGACTCGAGAATCGACTTCCGTCTAGGTGCTAATAGGACTCACTTTAGTTGTGTATGCAAGCCTACGATAAATATCACTCCCGCTTGTTGCATACAACCTCTTTTTTCTGCAATGTGAAGAGCGAGGCGATGGAATTTTCTGACTTTGCTCATTGTGTATATGAGCCATCTTTGTGTTCTCCCTCCTCACTTGCACACACGCTATTCCTACTTTTTCTGATGTACTTTGGGTGAGTCTTGGAGGTGCCTTCGAAATTGTTGTAACAGATGTCGAGTGCGCAATAATACTAGGCCATTGCAACGGATGGCCTAAGACCGAATATTGTTATTTATGCATCACAAAGTTGCCGCCGGTGAACGCATTATTGCGCGCAGTCGCAGTCCTTACTGCAAACCAATCCTTAGATTGTACGACGTCCCTACTGAAGCGTGGCTGTTTGACCAATTAACCGTATTATGCGGCCCTACTTAAATTGGCATGCATCTTTTGTCCTTTTTGATCAGTTCTTTCCAGAAGTTTAAAGGCAACCGCACACTACAGTGGATGCACAAGCTGGGTCTAGTGAATATCGAATTGGAACTGGGTGACCGTAAAGTGCAGATGGATGTCACTCCATTACAGGCTTCTATCGGTTACCTGTTCACTACTAGACGGACATGGAGTCTGCGAGATTTGGCACAGGTTAGTACTTTGGCTGTTGGTCAGTAGCTGTGCTGTTTGGTTAACCCAGCTATTCAGTGATCAATAGTCCGCATCTTGCATGTTTATCGACATGCTAATTTGATCAACTTTTACCCAGTTTATTAGTACCAATTGGTGATGTTTATCCTTACTAAATTCTCTGACCCATGTGTGATAGGGTGTACTTGATCAAGCCCTTTACCTTAGACGGATCTACCAAATAGTTCACCACTGGCGCCCATAGGTTGGAGAATAGTATTCATGTGGTCGCTACGGAAACCCAAAAGTTTCGCGTTGGAGATAGCAAAACGCTGTCTAATTGATGACAATATACTTGGTAAGAGAACGGAACTCACCGCAAAACAAATAGTCAAGCGGATGGAATTGCGCCTTAGTACGCCGTATTTCACGTTCCAATCGTGACTGTTCATTCAGGAACAGGGTATCTCCATGGAATCACTAGTGTCCCCCCGTATTGACAAATCTGTACATGGAAGACTTCAAGAGGAGGGCGCTGATGAACCTCAGTATTTTGCCTAAACTCGGTGAAGCTTTGCAGATGCTACTTTTATGATTATAAAGCGGCGTAGGAAAGAGAGACTACCAAGATGTTCGAGCCGTGTGGAAGAAAACAGACTTCGCTATGAAATCTTACGGTGGTACACTGCCAGTCTTTGATTGCCTAGTTCACAGGAACGATAGATATCAAAAAACGATATATCACGAACATTGAGTACTCCATTACTTCCCAGGTCATCCAAAGCACGTCTGTTCTTCGATCGCATCGCCTCTGTCTCACAAGGATCAGACTCTGTACACAATGGAATAATACAGGGAATGAAACCATCGACACGGTAATACATAGCGGATATCCGGGGTGATTTATGAGAAGTCAGTTTCAGGGCTTCAAGTCCATATTCACGATGTCCACTATAAAGAGCGTCTGAAGCAGTCAGGTGGGTGCTATACAAACTGTGGCTTTTTTGAAGGGTCATGCGCTCCATTCAGCGCTGGTGTGTCTGAAAACTCCACTAACTGGTTTCACAGACTATGCAAAAATGTACATAGGTTAAACCACCTTGAAAGCTGCGCACAAAGATACAGCTGCAGTTTCCTAACTGGCGGAACCGTTGCCTTTTCACTGCAATATCGCTCTTCCTTTACCTGTTGCGGATTTATCAGGTTTATTAAGTGCTTTCGACATTTTCTTCGGTTAGGGTAATACAACATCACTGATGTTGTACTCCGCTGATATTTTGCTAATGGACATTGAGGTACTGCACGCACAACGCGAAAGTACCAGAAGGCGTTTTTGTAGCTTGAGGAATCTTCCTCCATATCGACAAACTGGGCTTCGACACTGTACGGATTCCAGACCGTTTGTTTGAGTGACGTTTTCCACCTGAACACTTGCATGTTTAATGCTGTTATTCTAGGATATTTGCAGTGAATTTTGTAAGATTCCGAGAACGCACCCAATGGGGTAGATACAACTTACATTAACTTAAAAAGAAGAAGCGTTTGTCACGTTCGCGGAGCGAATATGTCGAGCCATATTCAGTTTGTCTTTAAGGTAATAGCAAAAATTACACATGTACGAAAAAAGTTCAAGGCTGCATTTATTATTTTATAATGAGGCCGCGGGCCGGACTTTGGACATCCCCGGATTCCACCAATTACTGCATTAACGGAATAGACAGGATGGAACTTGCAAATTCGTGGCGCTTTGTCTTAACCTAGCCAGTCTTAAAAGATTCGGCCGACGGGCTCGAATTGAAGCGCGAACGCGAATCTTTCATCACTAATGTCAGCAACAACAAAAACAAGAATGCATTGTAATGCGGATCGCCCGTAAAACCCCATTTTTGTCGTGCCATTTGAATGACTCTTCGGCTTTTTGAGCTGTAACGGTAGTTATCCACTTGATCGTATCTATTCTCCCCATTATCATCCTAATTGGTTACAAAATCTATGCCAGTTGTGCACAGGTTCAGCTGTCCTGAGGTCGCTCTTGCGTCAAGAGTGGACTGTTGCCAATTTAAAAAAAAATTATAAAAAAGTTGATTTGTATTCAAATCTAAAAAACTGTTCGCTTTCCGCTTGCCAGTCCTCCCAGGCAGGGTTAGAGTTCAATTCAGCAAGATGAACTGACATGAATTCAGGTTCTCATGCATGTAACACAACGAAGGAACTTTACGGCACATTCATATTCTGATAATGTGGAAATTATTGAGTATCCTGAGGGGGTTTCCATATTACTGTGAAGACGCTTTGAACATCCCGGGCTATTATCTGTACAGTATGACGCAGTGCTATTATCAAATGCGTATACAAGCAGCCTGATGGACAGCACGGTCAAATTTGCTTTACTGATTGCGCAAATTATTATTCATTCTGCAGCTCCTTCCCTCCTTCTGATACACTTACTACCGTTCCGCCAATCCATTTCTTTTTTTCGGTCACAGGATCTAGAAACCCAAGTTTCCACCGTCCGTCAAGCCTTGCACATTTTTGTTCAGTCCGGATTCATACATCAATGTCCTACACCTGAAGCTTCCTCCGATGTTCGCGCGGAACTGTTTGAAGTGTGTGATGCAAGTTCAGGTTATAACAGTCGAGGGGCTATGTATGATCTGGAATCGAGCGCAGATAAAACAGATCGATCGTGTCAACTACCATCCAGTGAGAGGTATTTCTCGAATCAGGACTCTGAAATGGATGCTGTGGTGTCCAGTGTCCGGGAGAGAAGAGAGAAAGAATTGCAGGTAAGCTGCTTTTCTCCTCACTGATAGTCTGCAATGTGATTATTCATGGTAACCCAAGGGACCGTTCGTAGTGCATTGTGTAGGGGCAAATATTGTTCCAGGCCATTATAGGGACTTGAGAACTACACGTGAAAGCCATGTGCTCATCCATTGGTTTGAAACCAACCCAATGGAACACATGCCCCGAGTTGCAAGAGGAACATAAACCTAAACCTGAAAACCATCTACATCCTACGGAACGCAAGCAGCCAAATGGCCGCGATACGTTCGGGTTTTCTTCTCCAATTCTACCTTCAGCGTGTTCTTTTGAATCGTCTGCCCGGTACGTTGGTCGATGACCTGGAGGGAGGTTTACTACGTGGTGCTCACCGTAGTTCATTTTCCAGCCGTTTCGATCTGTTTTGAAAATAATAATACAATCGACGTTGGTCGTTCCACTGTAAGTGAGGGAAACCATAAAATGGGAAATGATGGTCGGAGAGAAAAAAGTCCCGCCAATGACCACGACTTCTAGCCATGTCTAACAGCGTTTCGAACCAGAGGTTCTCGTGGGTTTTGAATCATCTTCCCGGTGGTCGGAAGCACCTTATCGATATAACTGCAGGTGCCAATAGTTAAAAAACTTTAGTATGAAATTCATGTACATTTCCATTGCTTTTCAAGTATTGGAGACGATGAAAATGTGTCAACACTAACGTCGCCCCAGGGGCAAACGAAATCGTCTGCACTTTCCACCGAGTGGTTCGGACTGTGAAAGAAATACAGAGTAATTGGACAAGCGCTGTAGCTTCGCGCATGCGCCGTGGTTGGGGAACTCTGTGATTGGTTGGGGTGGTGGGGCGTTAACCTTGCGTTACACCCAGTCCCGGTTGTCAACAAGCAGTTGGAACGTGCGAATCCTGGAAGTAGTGAATCCTTGTATGAGTGGCGTGTCGTGAAAAAACGGAATGTTCCACCGAACAGCATTAGACAATTCTATAATGCGTCAAGCGCTGAAAATCCAAGAAAGATACTTTGGAAATGTTTAAGACCACATATGTCAAAGCGTTTTTGAGTCGATCGATGTGTCTAAGAAGTATAAGGCCTTCAAGGAAGGGTAAGATGTTATGGACGAGAGAAGTATAAGTCGACTTTCCACCCCCAAAACAAAGGAAAATATGAATCGTGTCTGTTAGGAAGAGGACCTAACGAATGGATCGGTGAACTCTAAACGGATCAAACTCCAGTCCTTTTCCAGAAATCAAGGAGGATAATCGCATTGGTTAACCAAAAGATTGTTCCTGCATAATGTAATACTACTATTGGTAAGTAAAGAATGGAAGGGAACAGACGAAATTCAAGAAGGTCGCTACGAACAAATAACTACCTGGACTCTGCGCTGTGTAACCATCTCGTGTCTGGCGACTATTACACGGTATCTCTGATCTTGCATTTTTGACCGGCCAATCGGGGCGCGCAAGTTTTATCGGACAACCAATCAGAGCGGCCCGGGGCAGCCTCGGTGATCATGTAAAATGGCGACGGGGAAATTTTAATGGGAGAACACGGAAAAATGACGTTTTCAGTGGAGCGGCTTACTGCAATACTACAACATCAAGAGAAGCAATTTGAAGCAACTTTTAGCAGCAACGTTAACACAAGATTGCCGCACGATTTAATTCCGGAAATTTTTCTCTGCATATTTTCAAGTGCGTACTACTGACGTATGAATTTTTGGCATCATGAAAGGAATGCAGTTAAAATAGCAAATTCACCAAACTGAGCACACACACATTCATGTCACCTTGTCGTCTGCTACTGGCTCACTACCACGGCAGAGCTAGGGTCACATATGCATCTTTCTGCCCACTTAGTTGGGTCAAGTTGTTGGATGGCCAAAGCCACAGCATATCCTAAAGTTAGGGTGTTTATTGATGCGTAGATACCACGGGACGCACGTACAGGTTCTGCACACTAATCAGCCAGCAGGTGACCTGCGATTGATGAAGCTGGTTCTTGGTATGGAACTTTATTTCGCTTCATTGGCTGTGCATTCGAAGTGGTGGACGTGGCCATCAGTGCAACGTGTTTACTCACCCTCACTCTCAATTGTCGTTCTATCATGCCCACGTATTCGGCCTTGCATATACATGTAAATTGGTATTGGATGTGTGAACCGCTGGGCAGTGACAGCGGGTGGTTAACCGATGAAGTAAGGATACAATACGTTGCGTAGATTAGTACTGGTTCTAGCGCATGGTATACGCGCGCCACTGCAGATTTCAATCAGCGCTGAAGAAAACCTGGCATACATCGTCGCCCTTGATTGGCAGTTTCAGGGGTTACTTTCATTTTGGGTACCGTGGGCACACTTTCTTCCGTTTCCTCTGCACTAAACTGAGCGATGAAAGACGGTGGGTACCCATTCTCTATGAGGGTGCTGGTTATCAGCCGCACCTCTTGTTCCAGCGTGGCGGCAGTACATATTTTTCGAGCCCTGATGAATAAGGTCTTCACCAGACCTTATTTCTACAGCTTAGGGACAAAGCTGTAGAAGTTCAAGCACTGTCTCTTCCACGTTGATTTGCGTTAAGTTGATCTGCGTATTAAACCTTCACTTCTACGCTCCATTAAGATGTCAATAAACGGCAGCGTATCATGCCGTTCGCGCTCCGTTGTCACGTTATTTTGGTGCAAGTCATTCAACTTAGTAACCAGTTGGGCCAAGTGATACTCGCTGTCACAGATTAACAAAATGTCGTCCATATATTTACGGAACAAGAGAGAAAATATCCGCAAGTGTTTCAGCATGTTCTGGGGCTGTGCACGAAAACCAAAGCTCGTTTATCCCTATGGCCAGACCTAAAGCCAGTCTTCCGACCGAAGCGACCGGTTCTATATGCAGTGGCTTCAATCGTCGACCAAGCACTTGTTAGACTACAGTCATCAGCTGGAGCTATCAAACTGACCAACTACTCTTCATGGGTGGGCATCCTCCATTGTGACTGTTATGAAACCAAAAGGAAAGATCTGTATGTGTGCAGATTATTCTACAGGTCTGAATGCTGCTTTAATATATCACAATTACCCTCTACACCTTCTTGTAGACCTTTTGCACGTCTGAACTGTGGCAAATGTTTTGCCAAACTGGACTTGTTTGACGCATATCTTCAGATAGAAATGTGGAAGTAATCGCGGAAGCTGTTAACGATTACCACTCACAGGGGACTGTTAAAGTACACACGTCTACCATTTGGCGTCAAGTCGACCCCGGTAATCTCTCAACAGATCATAGATACGGTGCTACAGGGAATACCATATGCCGCTGCATACTTGGACGATGTCATTATCATGGGACCTAACCAGGAAGAACTACACCAACGAACAGAACAAAGGTGTGTGGATTCCGTGTGAGAATGGGCAAGTGTGAGCTTCTCATGACCTCCACTAAATGCCTCGGCTTTATCACTTACCAAAGTGAACGACGACCTGACCAGGGCGATCAAAGGCATGCCCCTACCTAAAGACGTAGTGACATTGAGATCTTTCCTCGATATGGTGAGTTACTACAGTACCTACCTACCTACCGTCCATGCACGACCTATGCGGACTACTAAACTGATTGCTGATGAAGGATGCTCCGTGGGTCTGGACCACCGAATGTCAGGTACCTTTCTGCCAGATCAAGACTTCATTAAGTTCAGAACTGATCCAAAACTGCCAGTTGTCGTGGCATCGGATGCATCCAGCTACGGAGGTGGAGCAATCATCTCCCACACTTTCCCATATGGGTGTGAGAAGCCAGCCGCTCATGCCGCTCGCTCGCTGACTGCAACAGAGGGAAATTACAGCCAAATTGGGAGAAAGCTCTCGCTATTATGTTTGCAGTGAAGCATTTCCACAAAATGCTATATGGCAGTCTATTTACCTTGCTAACGGATCACAAGCCGCTCCTTGCTATATTCGGCTCGAAGAAAGTAATTCCAGTATATAGAGCCAAGCGTCTTCAAAAATGGTTTACAACATTGCTGGGGTATGACTTCAACATCAAATGCCGATCGACAAGCGAAATTTATATGGCCGTTGCGCTATCATGACTTTTGGATGAGCAGCATCAGCCAGAAGACACAGATAATGTGCCATCAGAACTATGACGAAATAAAGGGGAAAACGAACTACATGTGAAGAAAACGATTTTTTCGGTTTTGCACACGCCGTTTCGCGATTTTTTGTGTTTTGGAATTTTATCTTCGATGAGACCTTAACCAATAGATAACGCGGTTTGACAGCAGTGTCTCCACTGATGCCTGTTGCGCGCTATTAGCCCCCAACATTTCTAACCACGTGCATTCCGAATCGCGTGATCCCCATCCCGGAAGGCGGACCAGTCCGACGGATGCTAAAGTTTAGGTTGCATTCTTCATACTCCTACACCTCATTCGACAGAAGAAGTGATGCCCTAACCACTTCTGGACGAGTACAAACTGCCAACGAGAGAGGCTGGTCAGCACACCAACTTCTCCTGCACCTGATAGCCGACCCAGAAGGTGGACAGATCGTTGCCGGGTTGCTGTCACGCCGTTCCAGATCAACCCCAGGCTGAAACCAAATAGCAGTGGACTTCAAACGGGGAGGTGTTATGAGGAGCACCGCTTAACTAATAGATCAGTGAACCCTAATCGGATCGAACTCCAGCAATTTTCCAGAAATCAAGGAGGATAATCGCATTGGTTAACCAAAAGAGAATGGAAGAGAACAGAGAAGGTTCAAGGAGGTCGCTACAAACAAATATATACCTGGACTCTGCGCTGTGTAACCATCTCGTGTCTGGCGGCCATTACACTGTATCTTTGATCTTGCATTTTTGATCGGCCAATCGGGGCGCGCAAGTTTTATCGGACAGCCAATCAGAGTGGCTCGGGGCGACCTCAATGACCATAACAGTGCGCGTGACAGTTTGAGCAGTGATCGACGAAAGAGTGTGCGACTAATCGCGGAGAAGCTATACATGCCGAAAACCAAGTTTACGAAATTTTGACGCAAGAATTCGGCATCCTAGGGAACTTGTCAATTATCCGCTTTTTTACCTGTGATATACCATTGTTCCGCTTGCCAACACATCTAGGCGACTGTAATTATAGACGTGACTTTCTTATATTATTCCGCATATCCCCTTTCTCTGCAGGTTTTTTGGTCTTACATCGTGGCGATGCTCACCAATCTCGGGGGTCTCACCTTGAGTCGCATCCACTCCATGCTACGCATGTTTGCTATGGGATCCACCTCCGGGCTGGATTGCACCCGAGAAGAGCTGAAACAGTTTTTGGATAAAAAGCTACACCAGTCCGAATTGGCCTTCGATGGAGAGACGTATACGTTATTCAAACCAGATAGTTAACCCAATAGCATCTGATGTACATATACTGCTATAATAAACATTCTGCTATTCACCTGAATTAAAGTGTGTTGTCGAATTTCTATCCCTTTCGCAAACACGTCCTATCCATCATCAGACTACAACTGAGTTCTAAACAGGAAATCCGCTACAAATTTACAGATATATTTTTGAAAAGTATCCTTTTTTCTTTAGCGATCACATGCTTTGCGCACAATGGATGCACCAGTATGGGTAGAAATGTCCCATCGCTGGTCTTTTCTCTCGTCTATTTGTCCGGACACGAAGAATCCATTAATGCAACCGTTCCGAGCACAATTTCACGCTCGGCATAGGGCTTATTACCCTTACAGTTCGTCACGAGGTACCAACGCACCTGACTAAAGTGTGGTAGCACCCTTCATTGGGTTGACTACCGCCAGTCTACGCTTGCAATGCTAGTGTACGTTTACCGACTTCAATTCCTTTTGCCTCGTGCGGCGTATCAGGTTATTCGGTGTAAATCAATCCAGGGTTCATCAGTATGCCACCAGGGTTCTAACGATGCGCAATATCCCGTCACTGTGTCGATAAGATCCCAGTATTTTGCATCGATTATCCGATTTCATGCGACTGTAAGCCTTTCTTCACGGGTCGGGATCCTGTGGATGCGTCCAGACTCACGTAAGATAGGGTTCTCAAATTCGGAGTGCAGGGTTTACAAGTAAAGCGAACCGAAATTCAATGAGATTTTCTGTATTCCTTGTGCTCTTGGAGGCTTATCCTGAACCCCTCCTTGCTCTACACTGAAGGGTCTTGAGTAAACCAGCCGCGTATTGTTCCTTCGGGTGCATGGTGGTGACTGCTCGTAAACGAGTCGCATCACGTCCTCTGATTTTGTGCAACAAGACAACGAAGTAAATGTACACCGAAGACCGTGACGTATTTATCTCATCTGATGAGCAGTGGGGATGTTAATAAATAAATAATTTATTCTCGTCATTGCGAGGCATACCATCAAGGGCATGGTCATGGTAATATAGACATGTGTGATCGGCAATTGCACAAATTATTACATTTTGACCAATAGCATAGGAATTTATGTGTGTGTTGACATGTAGAAGTATATTTAAGTGTGTATTTGGAAGTAGACATGTTGTGTGAGTATGAAAATTTGCCTCTGCGGTTTTGTTCGCTAGGTTCGCCATCAAAGAGGGGAGTCAAAGGAACGCTTCGAATTGGATGACGTTCGTAACCCTCCGTCGCAGTCCCCTCACGGTCACATAGATACCCACATATCTGGAGAAGCACCAGATAGCTGCTTCGACCTCCTGGGTCTCGTCATCTGACGGTTACGCTGCAGATATGGAGGCGAGTCTGAAAGAATTGTGATATTGCTACCTGTCTTGACGTCAAAGTGGTGGGTGTTCTACGGAGTTCGTTCATAATAATTAAAGTGCTATGCCGATGTGAATGAAGGCACAGTCCAGATTGGATGTAATTTTTAATGTAGTTCGTCACAGTCCTCTCTGTCACACAGGTCCCCACGTCTGGAAAAACACTAGGTAGCTTTTTCGGCCTTCTAGGTCTTGTCAGTGGTGCGCATTCCTCTATCCCCTGCTGGGTTCCGACCCCATGACTTCAGGATTCCCGTAGCTTGTGCCACTAAGCCATGGGTGATGGCGGCGGACCTGCATGACCGAGAGTTGACTAAGATATAGCGCAGTTCATTCCCCACTGTCATGCCAGTTACGAACTGCGCAAAGGACAGTGGTTGGCCCCAGAAGCTACGAATTTCCCTATAGCGACTGTGTACGATGCAGTACTTGGAAGATACACGGACGGAATCGTAATTACTAATGAGTAGTGGGGATCGGGTGTAATTTTTGATGTAATTGGTCGTAGTTCTCTTTCAATCACACAGGTTCCCACTAACGAGACCCAGAAGGTCGAACCAATTGTCTAATGCTTTTCCAGACGTGTGGGAACTTGTGTGATTGATGGAGGACTGCGACCAACTACAAAAATGACACCCAATCCCCACTACTCATTATTATCTACAAAGTCGTCCGTGTAGCTTCGAAGTGCTGCGTCGTACACAGTCGCTATACGGAAAGTTATAGCTCCTGGGGCCAACCAATCATATGCGCAGTTCGTAACTGGCGTGGCAGTGGAGAATTAACCGCGCTATATCTTAGTCAACTGTCAGCCATGGCTTAGCGCCACAAGCTGCTGACATCTGGAAGTCATGGGGTCGGAACCCGCCAGGGGTCCGAGGAACGCGCACCATTGAGGAGAACCAAAAGGTCAAAAAAAGCTGTCTAGTGTTCTTCCAGACTTGTGGGAACCTGTGTGACTGAGAGAGGACTGTGACGAACTACATCAAAAATTACACCCAATGTGGACTTTGCCTTCATTCACATCAGCGTAGCACTTTACTTATTATGAACGAACTCCGGAGAACGCTATCATCAGGCCCACCATTTTGACGCCAACACAGGTAGCAATATAGCATTTCTTTTGGACTCGCCTCCATATATGCAGTGTAACCGGCAGATGACGAGACCCAGGTCGAAGCAGCTATCTGGTGCTTTTCAAGACGTGTTGGGACCTGTGCGACTGACAAAAATGCGACGAAATACACCAAAAATCACATCTCAGATTGTTGAGAGTGCTTCCATAAATGTCCAGTCGGGACCTTATAGCTCGATGTGTGTTGTCTAGGTAGCGAAACGTGCGCAAACCAAACAGGTATTAGAGTAATTATTTGCCCTGGTACGTAGATCGAAATCAAGGCTATGCGACGCTTCCAGTCGCTTCGGCCGATATCTGTCCAACTCGCGCATTTATCCTACGGGAGCCCTAGTGTCATGATTCGAACCGACCACACCCTTTTATGGACTAACGGTTGATGCAATCGCAGAGCAATTTAACAATACGTGAGCAGTCGATAGTCTGCTCTTGTCTAGAATGGTAACTTATCAACTGTTAGTGTATCAGCAAGATAAGAGGATAGAGCGGATGAGCCACGTACGGTTAGTTTACTGACACCGAGCTGATCGCGCGTTGGAATGCTCGCTTACTTGTTACGCGGTAGTCCTGGTTTTTCGCCTCTCACTAGACAGCTTTAATCTCATTGGACGTTTTCACATATATGCACTAAGCGGATCATGTGTACGCCAACTTCGGCTCAACGCGAGACTAAACCTAAGCCGTTTTGCGATTGTAGGGTGTGCTTGGAACAACCGGTTGAGTGTTAAGAGACGCATTAGCAAAGAAATCGTTTATTGCCAGCGATACTACTCAACTATCAAAAGATACGTTATATACGGCATTCGGAATATATCACGTGGCAGCAGCACAGTAGCGTTCTGCCACATCAGTCCAGTTGATAATATTCCATATGGCCTTTACGTATTCTGCCCGGGCGTTTTTGTATTGCAGATAATAAGCGTGCTCCCAGACGTCAATGCCAAGCAGAGGTTTTAATCCTGGAAAATGGAAACAGCGACTGATAGGAAATTCTAGATGGGTAAAGTAAGGCTATCAGAAAATAGTTTTCATAGTCTTTCCACAATTTTTTGGAGTAGTGATTACCAGATAAGCTGCATTATCACTGTGGTGACATTCAGGTGGCCTCTGACAAGAACAACATTAGAGAGACCAATCCGCTGCGGTCAAAATGACTGCATTACATTATTTGTTTATTCCAACTTTCAGTTCCGATTTTCTAAATTACATATGTTGTAATGTGCAAAAATATTTGTAACTGAAAATATTGTAAACATTAGATTTTTCAGTTGAAAATAATTAGACTTAATTATCCAGATTTATACTGGAAACAGGTGGTAACACTCGAAATTTGTTCACATGAGCCACAAACCATTTTTTCACTTACGGAGCATTTGTTCTGCGACTTGCTGCCTCTACACCTACCAGTCTGACACTGCCGATGTTTACTTGTCTCACGACTTTTCGACTGGGCTGAGATGTTCGACGTAGGTCTAGCTGCCACGCGCTTCTTCCCATGCATAGGTCCACAGTTCTCCCGCTAGATCCGTCAAATATGACCGGCGGGATAATTTATTTCGAGACACGATCATAAATTGTCCAGGAATTAATACGTGCCAAATCTAGCCCGTTGAAGAATAATTGGACTAGCCATCCTCCAGATGATGACTTGGCAGTGGGTGCTTTTACCATCAGTCTGAGTATATTTACCCCATATCTCATTCCATAATCTTGAATGAAAGAACCACTGAGCAATGAACCGAAAGCCAACACATTTTATTCCTTTTGCACTGGTCAGTGTGTGCTTACTAATATTCTTCATAATAACTGAACAGAACAACTTTACTGCTTTGCTTCAAACTTGCTGGCGATTCCCTTCTATTATCGCAAATAGTTTCCATCATACTTGTATTTTTCTTGGTGATTAATACTCCCAACGCTGCAGATGTGAAGATGTTGTCACATGTGACATTGTAGCCATTTCAGAGGAAAGGTGACATAACGCTCAATACAACGCTCTCTGGAACACTTTTTCCAAGAGGCCTAGATTCGTCCTGTCCAAGGTACTGAAATCCATTTACGAGCTATTTACTATCTACATCTGGTAGAATCCAAAACTTGATATCAAACATATCAGGTTTGTTGGCTATGTACTGAAGAAATCGACAGCGGGTTTCGGTGGGAGACAGTTGCTCGTCGACGGTGAGGTTCTGCGCTGAAACACAGCACTTGAGAGTTGCGAATAACTGCACTCCAGAATGCAGATATAGCAAACTTGTCAGTCCGCAGTCTTTCATCTCTGATAGTTCTCATATCAAAACGAACAAACCGCATTGGCGGGTTTCGGTGTGGCTCTCTCCCATCCCTGCACACCACGACCAACGGTTTCGTCCTGGTTTGGAAGTTAATATCTGGGTTTTGGAGCACCCGCCATGTGTCTTTGTTCGCAAACGTAATCTCAATTGTGGCTTCGGTTGACTTTGAAGTCAGCCTCTGTCAATACGATCACGGACCGTCAACCAAGCGGAGGGTTTCGGTGTGGGTCTCTCTCATTCTTGCACTCCAAGATCGACGGTTTCGTCCTGGTTTGGACTCATCAAGTAAAGATAACCGAAATGGAATGAACTGAATTATTTCCTTGAACCTGTTCTTGTCTATTGTTCCACTGAAATCAGACGATCTGTATTTATCACATCACAGCACTTTTAATGGCATATACTTCAAACTTATATAGCCCCTGGTGTAAAGTAGCACTATTAAAGCACGCAACTCAGGAACACTGACAACTGGCACTTGAAACTCTCCTGGACTCAGTTTCAGTACATTTTCGAATAAGTTTCAGGACCTGAAACGTAACTATGATGTCAAAAGCATTCGACAGCTTTGTTAGTGTAGATAGTTGGTTCTAGTCTTGCCTTGTAAACATTCTGTGCCGCCATCCTACCAACAGTGGTTGTTTTTTGGAGCTCTATCGGGGTGCACGATGTACCATCTTTTGATAGAACTTCTCTGGAAGATGCAGAAACGGCGGATACACTTTAATGGATTTCACCGTCAGCATTGACCTCACTAGAAGTCTCACTGTCAAAACTCCTACTATCAGAGATGCTTTGATCTGTGGACTCCTGGATAGTGAAATAATCATCATCATCAACATCACATTCAATGTCGTCTCCAGACGTTATAATCGACAGTTGTAAAATCTCGTAAAACTTTAACAACTGTCCTCCCCCTACGAACCATTGTGAATAAAGGTGACGTGTGAATAAGAAGGCAAAACTAAATTAAAAGAACGCGGTCGTAGTGAATGCCTAAGGGCGCGTTCCAGGTAGCAAGAATAGAATAGAACACTATAACGGATATCAAAGCGATATTGCAGTCATCTAAATACTAAAAGTCATGAAATACCTTCCAAAATTCTTTAAGAGTGTAGAAATTATCCCCATATAACAACACTGAGCGGTCAAAATGAGCGCTCCGGGCGTTCTGCTGTTACAAGACTCAACTTGATGGGAATGAACCAATCCAATTCAATAAACGGGGAAAGAAAAAGCGTGATTCAACAATGCATGTATGTGATTAGCAAGCGTGGCCAGAAATGGGTTCAATGTGACCCAACTGATTGGCGTTTCTTCGCAAAGGAGCTGCAACGATGCAGTTAGGTTTCAAGTACCCAAGAGATACGGTCTCGGTTGCTTGCACTGACGATGGTAACGAGAAAAACGGCAAGCAAAACGGAGAGATCAAAGAGGTGGAACGGTGAAATGACATTTCGTAATGGCGGAAAAGAACCACACTTTGAGAGAATACACCGAATTCAGTTGTTTCGCACATTTTCCTGAGTTGTTTACTTACAATGTGTGGAATGACTAACTTACATACAAAGGAAATCAACGTGTAACATAAGTAGTGAAAGACAAGGTTGTCGAAGATCACTGGACTCATGTGCACCCGACTGGAGGAAAACGATCAGTTATTTCATCACGGTAGAACAATGTTGGTCACAAGCTCTGTCCGTTTGCATAGACTGTTTCAGTCGCCATATCACCAAAGCTTCGGTAAACTGAAGTAGGGATTTCTATGTTAATTTGTTTAGACGGTCCGCGTGTGTTTCGGCACGCAGGACATCCGAGTATGTGACGAGCACTCGAGTTGGTGTTGCAGCGATGTTAAGGGAAATGTACTTCGCGATCTTTGTAGACGGCCTTCTTCTAGTTGGGTCAACATACTTATTACCCTAAGTACAGTAAAAGATGTACATACATGGAGCAGCAACCTGAGACTCCGGTCTGTCCACGATTTGCATAGCAAACTTCCGACTTCGTACGTGATTAGTAGTAGTAGTGGTAGTCGCAGAACCATTGAAGTTTTGGCATCAGCAGCTTTTGACTCATTCCGTGAACACACTGTATCAGACCACGCTGCCCTGTTTGCCTGGCGGTGTTCAACGTTCACAACGAATGACAGATAGGCCAGCAGACTGTACTTGCACGCGCATTGCAGACAACGAGAGTTAAGGTGTACTGCATGCCGGAAATAGGGTCGATGACCCTCACGTGTTTGTTGAATTAACTGCGACCGCCTTATCCTCTCGCTATTGGTTGTACGCAGACGGCGATGATGGTGCAGCTAAAGTGGACATCGTTCTCGGCTCCAAGGATGAGTCAGCGCTGGTTGATTCGGTTCCCATGTGCAGCCGTCCGTGTGCAACTCATTTGACAAAATAGACCAAGGTTAGAGCACGAAGCACCGCTAGACTGCTTACATATTATTGCCGCTTATAACCGCTACCATGAACGCCTACCGCCACAAACATAACAAGCTGCAACGTAGGCTGTAGGCAATTATCCCAGACTATTCTAACGACCCGCAACATTTCAAAGAATTGATGCATCAGTTAGGCAATGAACTATATCACAGCGAAACCAAGTAACAGTAAAGAATGCTGTCCGTCTCGTTGGACGGACACTAACTGGATCAATACAGTTGGCATTTACCATGTCAACAACACGATCACGACGTCGGCGAGATAGCTTCCTTGCGACTTTCACCGTCCAGCTTCATGCTGAGGTCGATGTGCTTCTCCATCGCAGTTGGGATAGCTTGACTTACTCTTAGTCTACAATACACTGGATCTCACTGGATCCATTTTATTTAATTTGCTCGATTATGTTAACCCTCCGCATATTTCTTGTTTATTTTGTGCATTTTTTCTGTCATTTTCGGTGTTAGTCGGTTGATATCCTCTAATTTATAGTTATACTAACTTATACTTACATAGATCAGACTTAATAAACTTTATTTGCTCTGTTCCCTTGTAGCTCAGCAAATTTACTCTAATTTGCGTGCCTATTTTTCACATCGTGTGTCCGTTGATAAGACGCTTACCTGTCGATAAACTGTAACTTCGATCATACTAGCTCGAGAAAACCGTTGGTCTTCCTTGAGTAGACGGAGTGCATCGTCCTCGTGGCCTTGCTAAATAGTGCTTCCATTCGGTGTGGAGCGCACTATGACCCACCAATTGCCTTGTGTACTTGTGGCATGCATGATTCCACACATAGGAATGCTGCTACCGTGCATATTGCAGTAGTGTGGGCCGGCTCCGTTGATGAAAAGTGGCTCCCAGCCACATGCCTCCCGGTCTTATTCCTTCGGGTTTACACTGGATATGAGGTGTGTGTGTGTGTGTGGTGCCGCGGAATCCATCCATGGTGTCTTTGTAGGCGCAGAAGTTCTGTGGCTGTCATACGGAGGCCGAAGAGACAAGAAAATCCGGAACCGGATGCCGCCAACCACATATGTTGAACACCTGACCAACGGTACAGTCGGTGGAGTGCCACAACATATGGATAAGTATAAAGCGGCGACAATTAAGAGGGAGGAAAAAAGTAGTTATGGGAGTAGTGCCTCATAACATGTTCACCACTATGCACGGCTTCCTGCCGTGTCCAAGTGGGGCTCCAGTCATGTGCGCTCG